TTTAGGTAATGTAATTGATTTTAGGTATTGGCAGTTGTCAAATTGTCAAGTTGTTAATACATTAATGTGTTGGAATAGGGTAGTTTAAAAAGGGTAGTTTTTTTGTGTGGATTAATAGCAATAGTTATTAAAACAGTTTGCTTGAATGGGAAGGTTAGGAATACATACATAGTGCAGTACAGCTAGCGCCAGGTTGTATTACACTGAAATAGCCCTGGGGATTCCAAACTAAAAGAACCCCTCTTCTTAATTATACATGACACACTCCCTTTAGGAAAAAAAGTTCAAATTTAAAGGCCACCCCCTTTATGCCAATTAAACTCCTTTAATATAGAGAAATGATGTAGTCCTAGCTGGAAGATGGTTTTTATAACTGAGGTGAAGTGTTTTCCTTCAGAGGAAATGAATTTTTTGCATCAAAACAGTTAACCCCTGCAGGTAGTGCTTGAGTATTCCACAACTTTTACAACATATCTTGCAGTGATATACAAGTAATCTAGGCCCTCTCAGAGTTCTAGAACAGGTTTAAATGCATTCGGAATGCATATAATAAATCTTAATATGCTTTTCTTTTTTTAATACCCTGTGTGTACATATCTTTAATTAATTCTATAAACCTCTGTGTTTAAAAAAAAGATCAAAGCCATGTTATTATGAATAGTATTTTTACTCTGCCTTTCAAATACCTTCATGTATTGTGTACTGTGTAGAAGTAGGTGACAATTTTTAAAGAACAGAGAAGACTTAAGTGACATTTTTACTCTCATGCTTGTCTGTATAGACCACTTAATATTTCTCTTCTGTAAATGAGGGGCATCAATAGAGAAAGTAATTGTGTGATTTCAATGATCCCCAGTCAGTGGCAAGTTGTTTGCGTGTACCTCGGCTAAAGGCATGAAATCCGTATTATGTTCATTTCGGAGAATTGAGTCAATATTCCTGGAACCATTGGAAACAGAAAGTTTACATCATCATGGTAATGTGTGTGGTATCTTTTATTCATTACTCTTCCATTGTGGCCCTTAATTTTTTTTTATTGCAAATATGAAACCACTTGTCAATGATTTGTTAAACATAAGATTCAAGATGTTATAATTATTATGAATGTTAATGCACAAATAATTTAAGACTCATGTTTAAAATTTTTAATTTATGAGAGTAGAGGAAGTTAGGATGTGATACTGGGTGTTCAAGTATACATGTAACTTTGCCAGTATCAAAACTGGTAAAACTTCTTCTCTGAAATTCTTGCATTAAATATAATAACTGCATGAAAACATTTCTAACACACATTATTTTCATTATATCATATATTTTAATTCCTACATGTCCAATGATTGGCAAAGCTGAAGTTGCATATAAGTAACCAGTGTAGCCTAGATATTGGTCATTTTTTTCATTTCTGTAGGCATGTAAAAATCTTTAAGAAAAAGACAGAGATTGTCTTGAATTTAAAAGTTCAGAAATCCTGGTACATTATGCTGATGTTTTGACAGATTTGGTTTGGTTTGATTTTCCTTTAATTCCTTCTAGCTGTAAAAAAGATTAAATTTTGATCCTATTATGCACGACAGTGCACACACACTTTAGACACTTTAGAACTGACATGTCTATGAACATTTCCATTTCATTAATAGATTAAAGAATTCACCTGAAGGATATTCAATCTATAAAATCTCATCTGATTTTCACTTCTTCAAGAGTGCCATTTCATTTCCCATTTTTAATGCATGATAGGCAATCATTTACGATAGTGAAATTCAAACCTTTTAATAACAATATTTCTATATCCCTTTAAACTGGGATAAAGACCCTCTTTTATCATAATGGTCTGGACATGAATATTTTACACTTGATTGGAAAAACGGATTCCCTATGTTCACTATAATCCCCATCTGAATTTGTTGTGTATGGGTATTATAGCAAGAACCATATTGGGTATATATATATATCAATAAACACCCACAATCCCTTTTTTTTCAATAGTCAAGACATGCAAAAACTTGTTGAGTTGGAATCAGTCGACATGCCTTTATATTGTCATTAGATTTGTAAACTAAGTAGGTGACCTAATTGTTCAGTGCTGTACACCCTGATTGTTTGATGTTTTATGTTTACCAATAACAGGGCTTTAGAGATCACACCTTTATCTATTTTCTGGGATGATGTTTGATATTGACATGTGGCAAACATTTGTGCTTTGGATTTCATAAATATTTGTTTGTGGATGATCTAAACAGACTTCATTGAAATGGAGCCATCTGCATCATATTGGGCCTTTTTAGCAGATTATCTAAAAAATTTGTGAAGAATGTATTGGCTTATACCATCTATTCTCTGAAATAAGTTCCATTGAATGTGGATACAATATGATTAAGGTATGATCCTCATGGCATTTTCAGTAGCTTCAGTCTGAAATAATTCTAATTCTATAGAGATATATGGCTTGAATCCACCAGATGTGTATTATATAAACTCGGAGGGTCAAATCAATAATATTATCTTTTGTTCAAGTTGACAAGTCAACAGAAAATCAACACTTGTTAGATAAAACTTCTTTAGTTTGTTGAATACATTTAGATAGGATAGAGACACGTGCCTTTGTATTTGACAGAGCAGTGAACATTGTACATGTTGTATGTGTACACCTGTAGATATGAACTTGGAGACTCTCTCTAAAAGTCAAAGTAATATGACTCTGAGAGTATTTTATTTATGATATATGGATTCTTAAAATTTTGGAGAAACAGGAATTTCAGTTTAGTCTTTGACATGCTTGAGTGACAAAATTATATCGCAATGAGTAATTTATACAAGGTTCTTCATAGGATTGATAACATCTTGTTTAAAGTAGAAAGTTCTGTAAGTATTTGGTAGTAGAGTTGACTGGAATGCACTTTTGTATATGTGCAGATGGATGAAGAATACAGTGCATACATGTGATCAGAAATTTTACATTTTTATGCCCCGCCATGAATATGGCCGGGGCATATAGTGTTTGTCATGTCCGTCTTCCGTCCTTCTGTCCTTCCGTCCTTCCATCTGTCCTTCCGTCACACTTTGTGTTTAGCTCTGTTCAAAGCTCAGTTTCAAAGAAACTATCCAAGATATTTTTATCAAACTTCATATGCTGATAGATATTGATGAGGGCTATGCAACTGCATCAACATTTTTGACCTTGACCTTTCCTTTGACCTTGACCCAGTCTATGCGAAAGTCAAAAATTTTTACAGGACATACGGTCTGGTAAAAATATATATTTTACCAGACCAAGAATTTACTTACCAGACCGACCTTTTTCTTCAAATTCATACATCATTATGATACAGGGATTGAAAGGGGGGGGGGGTATTCTCACTGTTAAATTGAACCTTAAATAGATCCAGAGTTGAGATTATTTTAAACAAAATGATTTTATTGAAATAAACAAACTTATTATTGTTTCCTTTTTAAAAGGTAGTACATATGACAAATGCATACAATTTTCTCTTTTTCTGGTTATTTGACACATATAAACGAAATATACAGTGTCAAAGATTTTTTTTCTAAAACTTAAAATGCACTTTAAAATATATTTATTTATTTCCTGAAGTAACTCATTACGGTTACTCTTGTTTTATAATAAAAATAATCTACCCAACCGAATCTACGTATGAGCTATCTATAGATCTATATTCCATCACAGAGGAAATTCGAATTAGAAATAACCGCTCATGACAGGGTTGATATAGATTAAAATTAATCATGTATTACTGCTAAATGGATCGAATAAAGGATATGTGTGGAAAATAAGACCATATGAACATGTAAATTCAGATTTTTAGGCCTTATTTTTTCATCGGCCATTTGGTCCTGTATCCTGAATTTTTTTACCGACCCGAACCAAATTTTACCGGTAAAAACCGACGGTCCGGTGACTTTCGCATAGACTGTTGACCTCACTTTTCTTAAATTAGTGTTTAGCTCAGTTTTAAAGATACCATTCAAGATAGTGTAATGAAACTTCATATGTTGATACCTACTGACGTAAGCTATTCAACTGCATCAACATTTTTTGACCTTGACCTTTCTTTTGACCTTGACCTCACTTTTCTTAAATTGGTGTTTAGCTCAGTTTTAAAGATACCATTCAAGAAAGTGTAATCAAACTTCATATGTTGATACATACTGATGTAAGCTATTCAACTGCATCAACATTTTTTGACCTTGACCTTACTTTTGACCTTGACCTCACTTTTCTTAAATTGGTGTTTAGCTCAGTTTTAAAGATACCATTCAAGATAGTGTAATCAAACTTCATATGTTGATACATACTGATGTATGCTATTCAATTGCATCAACATTTTTTTGACCTTGACCTTTCTTTTGACCTTGACCTCACTTTCCTTAAATTAGTGTTAAGCTCAGTTTTAATGAAACCATTCAAGATATTTTTAACAAACTTCATATCCTGATACATACTGATGTAACCTTTTCAACTGCATCAACATTTTTTGACCTTGACCTTTCTCTGACCTTGACCTCACTTTTCTTAAATTAGTGTCAAACTTCATATGCTGATACATACCGATAAGAGCTATTCAACTGCATCAATATATTTTGACCTTGACCTTTTCTTTGACCTTGACCTCACTTTTCTTAAATTAGTGTTTAGCTCATTTTTAAAGAAACCATTCATAATATTTTCATCAAACTTCATATGCTTATACATACTGATGTAACCTTTTCAACTGCATCAACATTTTTTGACCTTGACCTTTCCGCTGACCTTGACCTCACTTTTCTTAAATTAGTGTCAAACTTCATATGCTGATACATACCGATGAGAGCTATTCAACTGCATCAATGTTTTTTGACCTTTACCTTTCCTTTGACCTTGACCTCACTTTTCTCAATTTGTGTTAAAATGTTGCATTACTAATATACCCTCGGCGGGGCATTCATGTCCTATGGACATATTTCTAGTTAATTAATTTATGATTGGACTTTTTTTTTGACAGACTTTTTCGCCACACATTTTGGGAGGGAAGAGCCCTACAAAGCGCCCTCTATACAGGAACCAGGAGGAATCCGTGAACTTGACAGCCTACCATGACTATCCAACAAAGCCTTTCATCAATGATGATTATCGCTTTGATCCGGCCAAACCCGTCAAACCATTCCCAGAAAACAATAGAACAGGTAAAGTTTTTGGGAAGAATTACTGTTGCTGTAATATTCTGTGCTTTCTGCTGGACTGTATGAGGTGTGCTTTGAAATAATCATGTAAACCTGGAGTTTATCTGTATAAAGATAGCTTAATGTAACTGATTCAGAGGTTGAAGTGGTTAATGTTTATTATTCTTGTTACAGCTGTTATATCAGCGCTAAAGAATCTCCAAGAAAAAATTCGGAAACTGGAGGTGGAGCGAGGGACAGCAGAAAATAATCTGAAATCTCTCGCTGCGGAGACAACAAAATACAAAAACATCCTACAGAAGGAACCACAAAATACACCCGGCCAGTCAACTGTGTCCAAAAATACTCAAGGTACCACCTGCACACATGATTGAAAGTTACTATAGGATTTCTTATGCCCTGTTCACACGGAGAGTTTAATTCGCAGTAAATTAATGCGAAGTAAACTAATGCGAATTTAATTAATGCGAGTTAAATTGCGTTCACACGAAAACTAAGGCGAAGTAAACTAATGCGAATTAAAGTTTTATTTCTACAATAAAGCTATTCAGTAAGGCTATTATGACGTCATTTTGCGAATCACGTCACATTGTGCTGAGCAGATACATTTGACCACTGATTTGACATAATGCCATAGTGTCTGTACACATTTTAGTAATTATCATAATTTCCCATTGTTTTCCACTCAAAAATAGCACAAATACCTATATCTGACCACCGACATGTGGCCTGTGACTTAATTCTGCACTTACGCATGCGTCAAAATTTAATTCGAATTAGCTTCATTTAGCGTTCACACGGAGCTCATGCGAAGTAATTTAATGCGCAGTAAACTAATTCGAATTAAACTAATTCGCATTAAATTCTCCGTGTGAACGCAGATCAAATTTAATTCGCAGTAACTTACGTTTAATTCGAATGAAACTCTCCGTGTGAACAGGGCATTAGTCCATGTCTGATATGCTTCGAGATCTAGTAGCTCTGATTTATGTGGAATAATTTGAGTCTACACAGTAGATGTTGTACTTTACTGTACAAATAAAATGATTAGGCTTTAGTTTAATTTTATTGTTCAATGAATAAATGGCACCCTGATGATGTTGGCATAGATTTAACTGTGAATCATTTGTATATCTAGCTTGCTTGTTAGTGAATATCTGCTTCTGTTACCAAGTCAAATTTCATTGTACCAAATAATGTCACTTTTACTGGATTAAACTGTCCTTGAGATTCAGTGTTCCAGACTTTATTGTAATTTGGTAATCTACTCACTGAGCTTATATATATATATATGTATACAGTTGTACTTGAATACACAAATTTCTATGAAAATTAAGTGTTTAGTTTAAATTGTTATTGTTCTGATTTCTACAGAACTTGAGACACAGTTAACAGCTGCTGAAACTAGGAGTCAGCTGTTGGAGAAACAGCTGGATTACATGAGGAGGATGGTACAAACGGCAGAAAATGACCGACAGGAGGCGGTCATCAAGGCCGCTGTAACTGACCGAGTAGACAAGGTCATACAACCCTCACCACAACCCGGCCCCTCCCCCGAATATCTCAGGCAGCGAGAAAAACTAATGGAACTCGAGAGGGAGCATCTCAGACTCACAGCATCTCAGACACTGTCAGAGGTAAGAACTAGAGTCGAGACATCTCAATCTCTGTCAGAGGTAAGATCTAGAGTCAAGACATCTCAATCTCTGTCAGAGGTAAGATCTAGAGTCAAGACATCTCAATCTCTGTCAGAGGTAAGATCTAGAGTCGAGACATCTCAATCTCTGTCAGAGGTAAGATCTAGAGTCGAGACATCTCAATCTCTGGCAGAGGTGAGATCTAAAGTCAAGACATCTCAATCTCTGGCAGAGGTAAGGTCTATGGGCATCTTAAACTCTTGTAGAGATGAGATTGAGAGATCGAGATATCTCAATCACTGCCATGAGTAAAAATTTGAAGTTATATACTCATTCTGAAATAAAATGTCAAAATTGAGTATCTCAAATTCTCTGTGACAAGATGGAGATAAAATTTGAGATGAACATTTAAAAGAAAAAGAAGTTAAGCATTTGTGTTACCATGGTTAGTTTTTCTTTTACTGATTGACATCAAATTACAAAGTGTCTGGTGTATAAAGATGATTTGATTACAATTAACAAATGTTCAACATGATTTATAAAGCCATTCTAATTTTATCTTCACAAATTGAGATGAATAGTTTGCATGTCTTAACATGCCTGCATGCCATTTTTTTTATTACTGCCAATTTCCTTTTAAACTGTTCTTTCACCAAAAGTATAGAATAAACTTCCAGATAATAAATTTCACTATAATAAAAATAATATAAAACTTTATTGGAAAGTTTATGAGCAGCACCAAACAATTTGAAAATACAGAAAAGCATTGAAATTCCAAACCAAATAAAAATCAATGGGTTATTTTATTTTTTATGGGCGTTATAAAATATTCATAATAGGGCAAGCCTCGGAGAGTCATTTTAAAATTCCATAATTTGTCTGACAGGAAAACAAATGAATACAAATGAATACTCTCAGTGCAAGAATGAAAGCCTATTGCCAGCTTTTCACTGTGTTAGGAAGCTATTATTCTGTACAATGAATGGTATGGCATTGTAGATTGTAATGGCAATGGAGAATCCTGTCTCATCCTGTGTATGCATTGCAAATAAACCCTTACTGAACATAATAATTTTTCTCAGTTGTGGAGTGATTTAGCAGTTATTCTGAATGACGGAAACTTATGTAATTGAAAATTAATACAAAATGTACATTTAAATAGTGTTTAAATGTTTGCTGTGTACACATTTTAAGTAGAATAAATTTATTATTATCATTTTAAAATTTGAAGAAAAAAAATGAGCATTGATTATAAATCTAGGTGGATTTTTTAGGGCAACCTTTTTGATGTTTAATCAGCACATAAGAACTTGGAAAACTTCATTTCACATGTGTCATTTTCTCAAGTGTTCAAATGCATACTAATTAGGCATTGTTTGATACCCTGCAAGAAGCTTAAAAGTTCTTGAATTTATTTTTAAAAAGGAAAACAAATAATTGTGAAAATAAATAAATATTTAAAAAGAAAAAAAAAGGGGGCCACACATGTTATACAGGATTTTGATTGAGCAGAAAATTTCCTTTTCCATTTAAATGTCAAGGGCCCTTATCTGTCAGCGCTAATTACCGTAGAAGATTTTAAAAAACGAATTTTGAGTATTTTTATGTTTAATTCACTCTCACTTGCATACTTGGAGTTTAAATAGCTGTGAAGTTTGTGTCTAATTATTACATTTAAATCCCGCCTTGTTTGGTCTTTGAATTTTGATACAATACCCATTTTAAGCAGCTGTTCTTCATGGCATTTCTTATCAAGCATGTTTGACTTTACACAATTGAATTTGTTGGGCTTATCTGGGTAAACAAAAGTGATATTACATGACTTGCCCAAAATAGCTATGTAGTACAAACTGGTCTGGATATTCTGTGAGCTTTTCAAATTCAATATATACATGCATACATCAAAAATTTGTTTTCTTATACATGTATTAGAAGTAAGGGGCTTGAAAAAGGAAAGTGTGAGCAATACAGTTAATGTTAGAATTGGTAATAACAAAAAAAAAAACATAATAAACAAAGACAAGGAATAAATAACTGTTGAATTAAATGCATTCTTAGATCAATTCATGTATTAACAATTATGAAAAACTAATGCATACCAAAATGAACTTAAAACTTTTATCTGCTGTTGTTTCCACATAAACTGTCAACTTTTACCAGTTTAAGTGAATAGTGTTTTTTAAATATTTGTAGAACAAAATCCGAGAGTTGGAGGAAAAACTCCAGGAAGAGAGACATCGCCGTAGGTTAATGGAGGATAAAACCGTAGAAGTAAGTTTACATTGTCTGAGAGAGAAATGAGAGTATGATCTACAGAGGAGGAGGTCCTGTACTATCAAAGTGTCACTATATATTGATATGTATAGGGATAAAACCTAGAAAGAAATTATAAGACATTAACAAAGAGAAATCAGGCTTGGTTGTTACCAACATCAAAGCAGGAGACTCACCTTATTCCTATTTTTGTATCATAATTGTAGAAATTGCTCAGTTATAGTATACACTGTAAAAAAGATATCATCTGGTCTGTATTTACGCAGAAGCGGAAGATTAAGTTATTGTTTTTCATGGATTGCAGTGTCTGTATAAATTGCAAAGTTACTGGTCTTTATAGGGATGAGAAATTACTTGTATGTTAGCAAACTTTCACAAGCCCCTTGTATCTAAACATTTTCTTGTTATAATTACAAACTTTCATGCATATAATATGTTTTAATGTTGTCTCAGTTGCACGATTACTGACATTTTTCATGACATTGTGTTTATTACAGCAAGAATCCCTAGCAGAGTCAGCTCGAATATTAAGGAATGCAGAAAGCATCGATAGATTAACACAGAAAGCAAAGAAAACGAAAAAACGGCGCAAAGCATCAGCAAACAAGAAACAGAAACAGGCGCCACCCACAGACCACAGCAAGCATTACAGACTCAATCTTGCCGACATCCCATTTGTAGCAGGAAAAGTAAGTCACAGTGGAAACTTCATGTCTTCTAAATGTTTTATGGAAGCAGGACTCGGAAGAGTAAAAATATTATATCCAGTACTGTATATAAATGTCTTATTGTAAGAAATCAAGTTTCAATTAAAATGACAAAATTTTACCCTGGAGTTGTGCTTTACAATTTTAATAATCATACTCATTAGCAAAATGACATGTAATGTAAATCCTAGAAAATCACTATTGAGAATAAAACTGAAATATCTGTTCACAGTCCCTGACAGCTAGTCACTCAGTAGGAGCCAATGTACAGCGTGTGCTCTCCTTGATGAAGTCCCACAACATGGCCCTGTGTAATGGAATGGACCACCACTCTAGATCCTCCAGCCCTTCCTCTGGATCCTCCAGCTCGGGTAGCATCGACACAGACCTAGCTGAGCTCCTACTACAGCTACAGGACGAGTTTGGTCAGATGAGCTGGTAAGTTGGTTTTATTCAACTTGGTTGAAAGTTACTATTAAAGAAGATTTAAAACATGATTTTATGTACAACTTTTTACATGTTAGAAGTACACTGTATCAATCCCATGATCATGATGATGAACATGTATATAGGTATCTTATTTATCCCAATAATATCGTAGCAATAAAACATGCTATCCTCTCTCCCTTTACATTATACATTTCCAAAAATTAAACAAAAATTAATAATAGGACCTCTGTATTCAAGAACTATTTCTGTGTCTTTTGGGTGTTTACATGCTATAGTTAAGGAAGACTTGTGAGTTTAACGTTTTGTGTTTCAGCGAGCACCAGGAGCTGTCCCACGAGATCAGCGAGGCCACGGATCCCCAGATCAGGGAGGACCTGGAAAGGGAACTTGATGCGCTTGTGACGCGAATGGAGAGCAAGAGTCAGCAAATTTCTAAAATACGACGACATCAAAATAAAGTAAGCACAGTCTTAAGAATAACAACAGTCTGACAGGAGAGAAGCCAAGATATGGCAAAACTTTTCCAATTATCCAAAAGAATCTCCAGAAAGAAATGCTCTTACACACATTGATTTGGATATTATAACTTTAGTAAAATTGTACAAAATCCTTCTGTGTTAAGAATGTCTAACTTTCAGTGTCATTAAGTTCACCACACTGAATGCAGTTGTCACTGTAGTATGGAAAGGAGGAATGAGTTAATATACATTGAAAATTCATAAATATATATATAATGAAAAACATATGGCTGGACCGGGAATCGAACCCGGGACCCCTGCATTACTAGTCTGGTGCTCTAACCACTGAGCTATCCAGGCCGATGTCCACAATCCAGCCTAAATTCCTACATCACACTCATGTTTGTAAACAATTTTTCCCATGATTTTACATTATTTTTGTGGCAATAAAATATACCCCATATGTATTTACAATCCTCAAATTGCATTCAAACAACTCTATCAAGCATATTCATGTTCTTTATTTAGATAGATCAAAAGAAGAAGAAAAAGAAAACAGTAGACCCGTCTAAGCGACGGTCAGCCTCGGCGAATGCATACAGCCACCAGAACGGTGAAGTGGAAGTGACCACAACAATAAAAACTCGTGGCCGCTCAGCGGGAGTCGTTCATGTACAACCTACGAATGCCAGGGAGGTGTCATTGAATGTGTTAAAAGACATGAAAAAATTACAAACCACGTTACGAAAAGATGATTTAGCCTGGGAGTAGCCAGATTTGATATTATGGATTTTATCTTTGTTTTTCCATTTGCGACTGTGATACTGCATGGCCTGTGCTCTTTTTTGGGGGGGGGGGGGGGGGGGGTTAAAATTCCCATCAATATTCGTTCGCTCATATTGTTCCCGCGTGTTTATTGTTGTAGTCATGGATCACCTGTCTGTTGATAATGACCGTCAGCTGTTGTGGAGTGAATGATAACAAAATATACTTTTTACTGCCAAACACATTTTTTAAATATGTGCAAAGGATTTTTTTTTTCTAATATTTTTTCCCTCCAAAAATTTAGAATTCTGCAATATGAACTCTTCAAAACTTTCTTCCAAGTATTTTCTATAATTTTCTTTATAACAAATTGCAAATTCATAGCAAATTTGAAACAAATACAACAAAGTGTTTTTTTTTTTTAATTTGTCAGAAAATTTTTTCCTAAAATCAAAATAATATGTGTTTTATTTTTTTAATGTACATTTTACTGATTCAGAAGTCCACTGATTAAAGACAGCAGCATTTATATTGTATCATTCATTAATCAGAGTTTTATGGATGTGTGAAACAAACTCATTTTTCAAAATCATGAGTAAATCCTGAATGCTTTCAGACTGTTAAAAGCTTTCTTCATTCAGTTTTATATGCAAAAAAACGAGAGATACACTGTAATATCATTGAAATAAAGAAAGAAACAGCTAATTTGAGCCCGTAAAATGTGACTTCATTGTTGAAAAATTCTAGTGAGATCAAAAAAAAATTTGTCTTTTTGTTGAAGACAGTAAAGCAAAATGATACAAGTTAAAATATTCCTCTGACTTAGCTGTCATATCCAAATATAATTTAGCTTTTTACATGGTATTAGATTTTCTTATTCATTTTTTAAACTCAGTTGTAAAATATTATTTGTACATAAATTATATATTTATATACATTTAAAAAAATTTTTACCTCAATAAAAGGTTTGAAATTATATTATTCATTGACTCTTTTATGTATAAAAATTCTGTGTGAAGCAGAAAAAGGATGGAATAATTTTCTTTTATTCAGTGCGATTAATTTTAAATTCTTAATGTCCCTAGAGAATTGTTTGCATATATCGAGGTTATCATTTACTGTGATATGGATTCTTAAGGTCAAGATCTAGTAAATGAAAGGAGCCTACAGATTTCTCAAATTTGAGAAATAAATTCCTTTAAAGATGTTTTTTAAGTATAGCTTGGTCAAATAAGGTGTATCGCGGCATATTTTCTAGGTAAACAAGATCAAAAATCGTATTTTAAACAGTCTTTTTTGATGAAAAATTAATAAAATAAGTCATGAATATGGGAGTTTTTTCCTTATCGGACAAAGGAAATGTATCCAGATTGCCTACAGTCTCTCAGAAAACGGTAAATTGTTTGTTCTTATCCTCTTCTTTATATTAATATCAAATTGAATATAGGTTTCGGGATTCATTTTCACATTATTTCAAATTGAATTCCATGAAAAAACTTTATTTTCTACATAATTCTATCAGAGCCGTTAAGTACGGGAAAAAGAAAGTTTTAATTGATTATGACGTCATAATGGATCTAGCACGAAAAAGACAGTCGAAAGTCATTTACTAGATCTTGTCCTTAAGGTGAAATGTCCCTCTGATAAGAGAAATAACTTTCCAAGGAAATTATTCCTAGCAATCTAATGAAGTGTTCAATAAGAGTTTAATGATGAGGACCATTATGTAGTCAATTCAATCGAATCTGCAGGGATTAATTGACTTTAATTTTCAGATTCACTTGCCCTTCGGGCAAGCAAACTCAAACTTTGACTTGTCCGAATGCAGAATTTGGTTGCCCAAAATTTAGAAAGAAGAGAAAATACCGGTTACTTGATTTATTATTGTAAATAAAGTGAGATATTACTTTTTACATTGTTTTGGCAATTTAACTGCTAGAAAAAAATCTTAATGTGCTGGTGATGCTACATTTGTAAATACTTGTATACCACTTTCCTGTCATTTACCATCCTGTAACTCACGCTGCCATGCAGCAATATTTCCTTTAGATAAATTTCATATTCTATAAATTATTTTCTGTGCGATTTTTTTTTTGTGAATTTTGATTTTTTTCTCCTGCTACGCTAAAGGAGTTGTTATGTTTTGAAATAGAGAGAAATTAGTGTTCTGTTAGTGAATAAATAAAATATTTTATAATATCTTATTTTATTATCTTAATAAAAGATGTAAAATAAAGCTGTGAAACAGAAAGCGTATTTTTTGTCAACTACAACGGAGGAAAAACAGAATAACGACCAGATTTTTGAATCAACGGTATCATCTAGAAACGCTACCGAGGAATTTAAATTTAAAGTCGAAGACCAGAAGAGCTCATACGATAGAAATGTCCATCTGTCTGTCTAGCTGCGTCTGTCTGTAAACCATTTTTCAAAATGCTACTCCTCCTACAGTTTTGGTCCGATTTCAATATAACTTGGCACACAATTAGACCACACTAAGATACATAATTCTGTAGATCGGTTTTTTATTTCGATGAACGGTGTTGCCATGATTACTAAAAATAGAAATTTCTTTGAAATATTTTCAAAACGCTACTCCTACAATTTTGGTCTGATTTCAATATAACTTGGCACACAATTAGACCACACTAAGATACATAATTCTGTCTATCGATTTTTGATTTTGATGAACGGTGTTGCCATGGTTACTGAAAATAGAAATTTCTTTGAAATACTTTCAAAATGCTCCTCCTCCTACAGTTTTGGTCTGATTTCTAAATAAATTGGCACACAAGTAGACTACACTAAAATGCATAATTTGATATATATGGTTGTTAATTTTGATAAATGGTGGTGACATGTATGGAAAGCCGTAGCGTCTATGGCAAGATTATAATTGTGAAGTGTGAATAGTTATAATTTTAGGACAAAATAAAAATAATGTGTGTACACGTTTGACAGACAAGATTATAATTGTTACAGGAAAATAATAATGTTGTAAAGAAAAACCAAGATTTTTATTTTTGGATGAGATAATTATTTTGGTATACTTATAGAGGAAAATAATAATGATAATGTGGGGGTAGCCTATGGCTTTCCATAGGAAAGACATTATATATTTTTTTTTATCATTTCATAAAATTAAAACAGTATTTTTTATCATTTCATAAAATTAAAACAGTAACTAATCTTACAGGTATGCAAATTACTCTTTTAATATAATTTTACTCCAATTCACTACTGATACTAGAGTGAAGAATAAATAAGGTGCTTTTGAACAAAATGGATTCTTTGCCCTACTCTAGACCTAATGGTGATTACTGATAGCATCGTTATTATATTATACACCTATGTCCACTCTACAAAGGATATGTTTATGTTTTATCAAAGAAATTACAAATGGGAAGTAGGAATTTACTGTGACAACCTCTTTTTTTTTTTTTTTTTAATTGTTTCTCCCCTTCAGCAAGCAATTCTTCTCGGAATACCTTTATAATGTCACTTATAAGTACGTTTAATTCGAGTTAAACTTGCTATGAAAACGTAATATGCATACAAAGTCAAAACATACACAGAGGAAAGCTTCCCCTTTTAGGACCTTCTTCCCGGAAGTTGTTCTATATACAAAATATGTTACGGCTTTGTTATCCTATACATCAACCGTATTTCCTCAAACAGTAGACAATTCTACGAAAAAATAAAATGTTCTACTTAATACAAAAATATATATAATGCATATGTTTGATTTGTACATATACAATTTAAATACATACTCATTATTATATTGATTTCTTACAAAAATAAGAAAAAAGAAGTCAGTCAATTATGCACATTTCTTTTTTTCTTTTTTTTTCTTCTTTTTTTTGGTGAAGATTCTATTTCTCACATCAATCATCTATCTTTTTCGTGAAATTATAGAACAATTCGAAGCTGTTTACAAATGTACAGTCATATCTTGTTATCTCAAATTTTATGTGGTCAAAATGAAATATCAAGGGATTTGATATATTGATGTTAGAACACACAAACTAAAAGTGGTTGTTCCAACTTACCTAGAAATATCCATAGTTTTCCAAATGCCAATGTTTGACATACCTCAAAACATCTTTACTGGATACTAATTTATTTATGCTTAATATCAATAAAAAAAATATATTGATCTTGACCTGGTCTTGCTTCTAAAAAAGATCAAATGGAACCTTATTCATACTATCACTTAGTGATATTGTCTTCTTGAATCTTTTAAAATTTCTTCAATTTTTAAATGTACTGTTTGAAAATTACTCTTGATTTACAATAAATATGTGTGATGCTGTTAAGGTAAAAATAGCTGTTAGCTGTAACTAAAATTCAGTAAAATATATGAAACCATTGTGCATGTATTTCATTAAACTATGACTTAGGAAAAGACCATAAATAGCTCGGAAATGCAGATACACTCATAAATCTGCTACTGTTTGAGCTAAATAATTGACGAAAATGTATTTATTTATTTAAATCTTACAAACATATTAACATAATAATTTCAATGGAATGCCGTTCTTTCATCTGGCGTCATAATTTTATAAATATTATGAATTCTGTGGAAGATTACGCCAGGCGATGGGCCAACCATGAAAAAGAAGACCTTGACACTTTATCAGAATGGATTAAGAGCATCAGATGGATGTTGAAATCTCGCATTAAGCGATTGAGGATCTGTATGAAAAGTATTTATCCTTCTGTTTTAAATGATTCAGAAGTGAAAAAGGAATTAGATAGATTACACGATCAGTATGCACTGGTCCCAGCTGACAAAGCTGGTAACAATTAACATAGTCTTTGTTTGTAAGGCTCATTATTTGTACTGTATTTTAGCATGTTTAGAGGAATTAGGATTTAATTCTACTTGTGGAAATCCAACTTACACCCATACCTCCCTTTCTAAGGAGGAAATTCTTCAAAATCATATGTCCGTTTTAGATATTTTTAATATTCCCAATAATCAAAATGAATTTGAATTACCATACCTTTACTGGAATCCTAAACTTCGTAAAAATCCTTACACACAAAGATACATAGTGGGTTCCAGTAAATTTTCTACCAAGCCTCTT